GAACGCCGAGGAAGTCTAACTGGGCGTGCCGGACGGTGGTTGGTTGTCTCTCTCCAAGCCTCATTGAGAAGAGCGAAACGGCCTGGCTTGGCCCTTGGCGTTTACGGTGGCTCCCACATCACCATATTCCGGACGGCGTATGGATGGAATCACAGTGAGGTACTGTGTAAGCGCGGGACAACAGTCTGCTCAGCTTCTGCAGCCGCTGGTCGTGGTCAGAATGCAACACGGCACCAGCAAGTTGGCCAACAGAGAACAGAGGTACGGAGGGAGCCGCGGGCGAAGCGGAGGGAGAAAAGTATCGTTGCTGGGCTTGAGGTGAGATCGAGGTTAGCTCGGTTCTCCCCTGCCAATAGCTGCAAGGTACGACCCCATGGAGAGCCAAGCCAGTGTTTCATAAAAATCAAGCCCGGATTGGTCCATTCTATTCTGTTTCCCTCTTTTGTCCAATGATTCAACGGCTTTTTCTGTTCCTGGACTCCTCCTTCCTCACTTGCAGTCTGCAGAGAAGGAAGGAGGAAAGGAAGGATGGGAGGAGGCACTTGCCGCGGTGAGGCGTGTAAATATCCAATTCACCTTCAAAATCCAAGGGAAGGAGCGACTGGACCCCCCTGTAGGTTGATTGCTGCCCAGAAGCAGGTCCGCTCCTGCCTTTCTGCAGTTCGTGCCTGCGCCGTCTGCTGTGACCTGCTGGCGCTGCCCGTCTGCCCACCAACATCCGTACTCCGTACCTATCCACCGGGGCCAAAGTCCACCCACCTCACATTGGATCCTACCCTTCTCCATCCACCCATTAACCTTGTTCCCCGAGATGTGCCTTCTTGCAACTTCCTCGTTTGCTTAGGTCGATTTATTAACTCAGCCCTCCCACACTCACCTTATCCCAGATCTCCTCTTCTTCTCTTTTTCTCCCACGATCCAGTGTTAAAGCACAACTTCGACCTGCCGGCTATCGAATAGCATCGCCTCTCCTTCCAAGAGACTCCTCGTCTCAAGTCATTCCTTATTCACGCACTCAACCCTTGGTCTCACTTAGTCCTTGATTCAGAGACAAGACACGCCACACCGTTGAACAGGGTTCACTGAGTACGCCAACATTCCTAACAAACCCAGTCACATCTCGCAAGTCGAGTCAAAGAACAACCTGGGCCCTATCCATACACCACTGGGACATTCCTACATTACTTTTACCAGCCACTTGCAATTCTCCTGAGGCCGGTCAAATATCCAGAGGAACTCACTCCAATTTCCCAGCAAAGCTCAATTTCTGAACATTCATTCCAATCATTCTTTTCGAGAACGACACTAGAACAAACATGAAGTCCTACACGGTTCTCATGCTGGCTTCGGCCGCTGTTACCCAGGCCATTCAACAGTGCTCCGGCACGGCCAAGGAAGAGGGTGGTAACTGGTTTTGCGGTGCTGTTGATCAGATCTTGTATTCCAATGTCGGTCACCCTGGCACTTACAAGGCTGTCAACCACATGGGTGACGATGGTTCTTGCACCTTTGAGGACGTTGCTTTCTCAGGCCCCCTGGCCCCTTTCAACGAGGAGGTAAGCTTTGTTTTCTCTCAGCATCATTCACTTACACGTTCGCACAAGTACTCACAAAATCCTAGCTTATGCCCGTCTTCCGTGGTCCCATGCAGCTGAAGCAGGTTGCTATCTACAGCCTGTCTTCCAAGGCCAAGCGCTCCCCTGCCGCTTCTCACGTCCACGCCCGCCGCCATGGCCATCACGGTCACCAGCACCTCCACAAGAAGTCGGTCGAGTCTCCTAAAGAGGAGCCCAAGGAGGAGAAGCGTGGCGAAGACTGGGTCGTTGCGGAAATCGACGGCAAGGTCGTATCCTGGATCAACAACTACTTTGGCCCTACCCCCGCGGCACCTCCTGCTGCTGCTGCGACCCCTGCTGTCGCTCCTGTTGTTGCGCCCAGCCCTACTCCCACTCCTTCTCAGCCCCCCGTCGCTGCTGCTGTTCCTCAGCCTGCTAGCTCCAAGGCTGCTTCAAGCTCTGGCTCTGGCTCTGTTAGTGGTGACTACGAGCGTGTCGGCTACTACAACGCTGATCAGGGTGTTGCTGACGGCATCGTGTTCCTTGGCAACTACGGTGGCCAGCTCTCTGGCAAGTTCGACAAGTAAGTGTCACTTTGAGATGATTCTTTATACATGAGTCACAGTGTATTGACTGGGATCAGCGTCTTTGGCAACTCTTTGTCCTACCTGAATGCCGCGGGTACTGGCGGTGCCGCTTCACCCGAGGTCTTGAAGCCGATCACCCTCAAGTCCAACCAGGAGTTCCTGATCGCCAGCGACAAGTCATGCGACGATGGTGGCTGTGGATACTCTCGCCCTGGCTCCGTTGCATACCGTAAGTAATTCATAGAATCTTGCTCTGCCTTTCTGTCTGCTTACACATCTTAGACGGCTTCAAGGGTGAGGACTCAGTCTGGCTCTTTGAGCTGAGCATGCCTCTCGACGGAACCACTGGTTTCAACGCCGACATGTCCGCTCTTTGGTTCCTTAACGCTCGCATCCCCCGCGTTGCTCAGTATAGCACTTGCTCCTGCTGGCCTGCTTGTGGTGAGCTCGACGTTCTCGAGGTCCTCGCCACTGGCGATACCAAGTGCAAGTCAACCATCCACTCCAACGTCCCCGGCGGCTCATCGGACTACTTCGACCGACCTACTGGCGCCCCCGCCAAGGTCGCTGTTGTCCTAGATGGTGACTCTGGCCAGGTCTCAGTCAAGATGTTGGACTCTAGCGTCAACTTGAGCTCTGGCATCACCCGCTCCCAGGTGGAGGGCTGGCTCTCTGCCAACTCCGTCTCGACCGCAAGCACCGGCGGCAAGAGCAACAGGGTCTCCTTGTTCGCTTTGTCATCTTGAGTGTTTCCGCGGTTTTGATTTCTACTTGGATGGTATTCCAACAAGTACACGATTTGCATATATGGGATTGGGGGTTTGACGATAACTTTCTCTTCTTCTCGCTGGATTGAGCCCAAGCAAGACCTTTTCTTTCTGCATTGGATCTTCGGCATCCAATGACTTGAGACTTTTTTTTCTTCGACATGCGAGGGTACCTGTTACCTTCGCCTTTGGGGGCAAGGGGATTGCGAAACGACATTAGACGGCGTCTAAGACGAAGATACCCACCGGCCCCGGAAAAGTGCGCACTTTTTTTTTTACGATTTTATGGAAAGGAGGCAGGAGGATTGGTTTTTCTCTTGCAAGACAGTTTAGCCAGAGAGTTTTCTTCTCCAAAAGGGGGGAGATACCATTTGATACCAAATTTTTCAAACAAACAAGCGTGGCTTGACTACCTATGCTCATGCTCGTTGTGACTCGTGATATACTCCTTGATGACTAGACCTGCCACTTCACACAAAAGAACACGGAGGCTTGCTTGAAGGAAGTCACATGTCACATCTTTAGTTCCAGGTAGCTGCGCCTTGTGAAGAAGTCCGAGCTCTGTGGCTTTTTCCGCTGAAGAGAGCTCATCTGCGCCACAAGCCACAAAGTTGTCCGTTGCAGGGCAGATGACATTCGCAAGAACAGACGTGGACGTTTGTGTGTCTAAACATGTCACTGACTTGTCTTTGTGGCGCGAGACCGGGGAAGGCAAATACATCTGAAGTTCTGAACAAGACGAAGAGTTGTTGTCGAATACCTATAGTGGTAAATGCGTGGGTGTGGTCCCGGTCGCTGCAGGAAACTCCGGAACCTGGGGCGGCGAGCGAACGGACATCCGAACCGGCTAACCCTCCGTGCGCCTGACAAATGTACATGAAAGAGTGTTGTCCTATGCCGCGCGACTACTCGCGCTGTCCATTTTCAACTTGTTCTTGGCGATTGTGGATTTCTAAAATGTCTAGTTTGTTCTCGTAAGACTGATAAATCTTGCATTACAATGATAAACTTGGGAATATTCTAGGCGCGCGCTATGCCCTGTGGCCCATCTCGCGACTTCGCTTTCGCGGCTTGGGGGAGGGATGACAAGTACGGGGTGGAAGCTCGCGGATCCTTGATGGGGTGAAATTCTCATAGGCGCGGCGAACCGCGAGGCTTTGTAAGCTCCCGCGCGAGAGGTCCGGGGTCTTTTCCCCACCATGTCTCTCTCTACTTTGCTTCGGATACAGAGCCAGCAGAGCAACCATCTACAGAGTTCCCATTGTCCATACGCGTACAGAACACATAACTCTGTAGCCTGTAGAAGATCGATTAGAGCTACGCTTAGTCTGTGGTAGGAAAGTCAATACATGGTAAGCATGCACGGCTTGCGGGGACACGTACAGCTTTTTGATTTGTAGTTGTCCAACCAAAAGGTAGGTAGCTTATACGGCTCTTCCCCATCTGGGTAGGCCAGATTTCGCGCGGGGCTTCAGTACGATAGACTTTTGTAGATTGTAAATCGACAGTATGAGGTACATACCAAGTCGCCGCTTACATACTCATGATAGTATGTTGAGGTAAGGTGGAGAGGGGAAAGGAATCCTACTAACGGTTCAGCGCGAACAGGTATGCGCGCGGGCGCGAGGTCCCCAGCCTTGCGAGATTACCTACCACTCTTCAGTATACCTACCGGACGACCCTGTGGGTAAGACGAAGGTACATGATGATGAGGGGTTCTCCCGCGCGCCCTAGCTTTACCTAATCTGGTAGCTTATGTCGAGGTGTGTCTAGCATTATGTACTTCGTCCACGTCCTGAGACATATGCGTCTTTGGGGAGGGGCGGGCAGAGAGGTTCATGAGCGCCATTGTGTATAAAGACCGGACGATCGCTTGTCTTTATTGACGATGAATCTTGGAAAAGATCATCAAGCTACCATTCCAACAGCATTTCAACTCTTACTACTCCGATTCAATCGCACGATTAAGGTTTTTAATATTCAACGCTTCCCCAACATTAGAGTGTGATGCTCGAAGAAGAACACTAGGTTCCTGACACTTGTATCAAACAGACCACCAACAACAGAAAACCCACCCAATACACACGAAAATGACCAAGAAGATCATCACCGTGTTCGGCGCCACGGGCGCTCAGGGCGGCAGCGTCGTCAACATCTTCCTCAACGACGCCAAGCTCAGCAAGGATTGGCAGGTCCGCGGCGTCACCCGCGATGCCACCAAGGACTCGTCCAAGGCTCTCGCGGCCAAGGGCGTCGAGGTTGTCGCTGTAAGTCACTGATCCGCTGTCGAGCGACTTCGTAGCTTTGATCCGATGATCTTGCAATTGTCATGCTGACGAGTGCTGTGAACTTCAAAACACAGGCCGACCTCGGTGACAAGGCTTCGCTGGCTGCCGCTGTCAAGGGCGCTTCGGCCGTCTTCGCCGTGACCAACTACTGGGACAAGATGGACAAGGAGCTGGAGATCCAGCAGGGCAAGAACATTGCCGACGCGGCTCTGGAGGCTGGCGTCGAGCATTTCATCTTCAGCTCCCTCCTCGACGTCAACAAGCGTACGTAACCTGCCTGCCCACTCCCAAAAAGATACATGCATCTGTCACGTTTGCGAATGAGGATCCGGGAACGCTAACATGTCACGCAACAATAGTATCCAAGGGCGCCCTCCCCGACGTGTACCACTTTGACAGCAAGGCCGCCGTCGAAGAGTACATCCGTACGACCTCCCTCCCCGCAACCTTCTTCCTCCCGGGCTTCTACATGGCCAACCTCCCCGGGGGCATGTTCCGCCAGACGCCCCCCGACAACGCCTGGGGCCTCAGCCTCCCCGTGCCGGCCAGCGCGCCCATCCCCTTGTTTGACGCAGCGACCGACACGGGCAAGTTTGTAAAGGGCATCGTGCTGCACCGCGAAAAGGTGCTCGGCAAGCGGGTATACGCGGCGACGAGCTACGTGACGGCGGGCGAGGCGGTCGAGACGTTCAAGAAGGTGTACCCGGAGGCGGGCAAGACGGCGCGGTTCAACGAGCTCACGCACGAGCAGTTCAAGGGCGCGCTCAAGGGCCAGGGGATGCCGGATTTCGTGGCTGAGGAGATGTTGCAGAACATGAGGCTGCTCGACGAGTTTGGGTACTATGGTGGGGAGAAGCTGGACGAGTCGCACGCGATTGTTGAGGATAAGTTGACGACGTGGGAGGAGCATGTGAAGAATGCCAAGGCCTTTTCTGGACTGTCGTAGGTCCTGGTCTACTATGCTAGATCGGCTTGTTAGCTTGCAATAAGTAAAAATAATTGATGGATGAAATCATGTTAATGGTTTTTTTTTGGTTTTTTTTGGTTTGCTTCTACGTTTGAAAGTAGGATTAAGTGTCGAACATTTTATGTTGGTGAAATAATTGAAGGGCGGATCAACTTAGTTCGCGGCGAGATGGCATGTCAGTGCTAGTAATGTAATGCAACGACTCTGCAGCACGAATCGTCGATCAGCAAATCCAGCAAAGCGTCGAGTCCCCAAACAACCGGGGAAACCCCAGATTCAAGAGTCTTGGAAACGGTAAAGCTAATGCGAAATGGCGACGGGAGGGACGACAAATTTCCCCAGGGTGCAAGATGCCTCGGCAGAAGGACGTGACTGCGGCGCGGGTGCGAGGCCTGGGCCGCCCACGTCGGAACTAACGTGAAAGATACCGAGGCAAGAATGGAAGCCACTGGACGCAGAAAGGAGGAGCGGGACCCGCCCGTCCCCGACCCCATCTTTTTGACATTCTGCGCCTCCAACCGCTGACTCTCCCGAGCCTCCCCCAAAGGCCAAAGTCTCCAGTTTCCTCTCCTCACCTCCTCCACCTCACTTCACTGTCAATCGCCAAGCACGAGCCTCCGGGGTCACTTGCCCAGCACTGTGACTGCGTCCCCGTCCGCCGCGGCCCCCCATTATTACTCAGGTGCATTGCGCTGCGAGCCCAACTTGTTTCCGCCATCCCAGCGACCCTCCAGCTTTCTCTTACCCGTGGCCCATCCCCGACCCTATCTTTCCCTCTCCTCTCTCCAACACGTCGCAAAACGTCGTTCGAATCCTCATTTTCACTGCATCTCCCATTGAGGTTGATTGTCAGTTCAACCCGACGACTTGGCCGGTTAACGCCAGCCTCCGTCGCGCGTATCCGCAGCCCCAGCGTGCAGCAACCGGCAAACCAACACGACTCGAGAAAATCGCCACCGGCTGCGCTCCCGATAGGCGGATTGCGAGATAACGCCGAGCCAGCGACCACCACCACACAGTATCCAAGGAAAACTTCTTCCTCGCGGGAAAAGTAATTATGGCTTCCCCTCCAAAGCCCTGGGAACGGGCCGGTGCTCCAACAACAGCTGCCTCAAGTGCGTTGAACACCACAAACGGTCCTTGACCGTCGCCAATTTCACACATTTTGCTAACGACCACTCTAGTCACACCCATGTCTGCCGCATCCATCGCGACCCCGACACCGGCCACATCCCTCTCCGGTGGTACCCCGCCCGCCGTTCCCGAACGACCTGCCTCTCTCGCCTCCACGGTTGACCAAAACGCTGCCGCTTATAGCAGAGCAGGCTTAGGTGCGGCCGCCAGTCCCTACGGCTCATACGGCGGCGGTGCCTATTCTTCTCCCTACAGCAGCCCATACTCAAGGATGGGTTCCTACGGCGGCTACGGCGGTGGTATGTACGGTGGTGGTATGTATGGCGGTGGCTACGGCGGTGGCATGTATGGAGGAGGCATGTACGGCGGCGGTATGGGCATGGGCGGTATGGGAGGCATGGGAGGGCCCAACGACCCGAACAGCCTTACCAACAGATTCAACAACAGCACGCAGGCGACATTCCAAATGTTGGAAGGCATCGTTGGTGCCTTTGGAGGCTTTGCCCAGATGTTGGAGAGCACATACATGGCCACACACTCAAGCTTCTTTGGTATGTCAACTGCGTCACATGAAAGCGAAGTATGACTAACAGATATCACAGCAATGGTGTCAGTAGCAGAGCAATTCAGCAACCTTAGGGATACCTTGGGCTCGATACTCGGTATCTTCACCTTGATGCGTTGGATCCGAACCCTCATCGCCAAGATCACCGGCCGCCCGCCTCCAGCCGACGCGACCGCGCTCACGCCAGCAGCCTTTGCCAAATTCGAAGGCCGATCGCCCATCGGCCCCGACGGTGCTCCCCTGGGACCCCCCAAGGCTTCCCGCAAGCCGCTCTTCTTCTTCCTCCTTGCCGCCTTCGGTCTCCCGTACCTGATGCGCAAGATGATCAACACCATGGCTGCATCTGCGGAAGAAGAGGAACGTCGCCGTATGGCTCTGGCCGGCGCGCAACAGCCCTTGGACCCGTCCAAGCTTGATTACTGCCGTCTCCTGTACGACTACGCTCCTCAGCCTGGCAACGCCGTTAAGGACGTTGACATGGAAGTGCGCAAGGGCGACCTTGTCGCTGTTCTCTCCAAGAGCGATCCTATCGGTAACCCTAGCGAGTGGTGGAGGTGCCGCGCGCGTGATGGCCGTACCGGCTACCTCCCCTCGACCTACCTCGAGGTGATTAAACGACCTGGTCAGCCTCTCGCTGCCATCAAGGGTGCGCCCAGCGACAGCAGTCGAACCAACTCGCTCACTGGCGCCGCTCCCGAAAAGGGACCGGAGATCAAGACGAAGATCGGAGACGTTTCGCCCGAGAGCTTCCAGAAGAGCGTGTTCTACAACTAAACTATATATAAACAACCCGTCACGAAGGGCGACCTATCTGGCAGGAACGATAAAGCGGCGTGACGAGTGATGCGGCGAGTGGAGAGACGAATTTTTCTTTGTAGGTTTTGTACGATTCAGTTCCCGTCTGGGATGTTTGTAAGTCCGGTTAGGACTCAAAAGCTAGGCGTTCAGGTTCATGATCGCGTCCCTTGGTAGTGGGAGCGGATGGAGTTGCTGCTTGGTTATCTTGGCCTCAATTTGATGTGTGATTACGCAGTTCAAAGCCATGAGTAGCGGTAGTGTAAGCGACAGGATTCTTGACCGTCAACTATCAATTATCAAATCATCTCTGTTACTGTGCATGTTGAGAGAAGAAATGCGAAGTCTAAACGCGACGAGACAAGACTTGTGACTAAACTGGCATCTTTACGGCTCTAAAGTATACTACCTGCGAGGCCATGAGCGGGTTCTGGACCGGGTTAGTTCGTCAGAATACCTATCCGCTTTTGCACTGCTATCATTCCATGTCTGGACGATTCCACGATTGACGTCACATGGGATGACAAGCGTCAGAAGCCAGTCGTACTCCAGACTCATGGGTATTGGTTGCCGGTATGCTCCCATCTGGTGACGGCTGACGACGCAGCCGTCACTGAACACTTTTGCGGACACAAAAGGCCACTCGACGGGCTCAGCTGAAAGCCCGCAAGCCGCAGCACACCACTGAAGAAGACCTTAGAAAAGCTGCGTGCCTGAGCTCCCCCAGTGGCTCCCTCCGCAAACCCTGGGAGGGAGTGTGCACGAGCCACCGATGACGTTGTTGACTTACGTCTTTTTTACGGCTGCTCTGGCACACTGCTAGCTGCACTTGCTAGCTGCTCCCAGCCCTGTTCTCCCGCCAAGGTCCCTCTCCCGTCCCGGCTACGTAAGGGTTCCTCTCATTGAGTTCCATACCTTACGCAGTACCTTACCTTCAGGTGCTCAGGCAGTCGTCAAAGAGGGTACTTGTATTCACGTACCTGCCACCTTTACTTGCCAGAATTACCGGACCCCATCGTCACCCTCACGCCCATCCTACAAAAGGCCAGCTCCGCCCAGCCCGTCAACTGTACTCCTACAAATCACAGCTCCAGACACCAAAATCTCCCCTCGCCAAGAACGATACCCAACAAGAACACAACCGAAGAAGTCAGTTTGGGCTTCCGAGTGTATTCCTTCGCACGACACATCTCTCCCTGTATCCACGGAGAGCACACGACCACAATCCCTTTTTCTAACTAGCTGTCCCGAGAGCTGAAGCTTTCCCCGCACCAGTCAAGATGACTCTCTACTACACTCTCGTACGTCTACAGCACCCGGCTTCAAGCTGCCGTCTATCCTCTTTGCCATTGGTCGAATGACTAGCTTGCCGAGCCGTTGACTACATGTGCTGACTTTGTGCGTCACAGGTGTTCATGCTCCTCATGGCGGAGATGGGGCTTTTCATGCTCCTTCTGGTGCCCCTTCCCTTCGCCGTCAAGCGGAAGTTGTTCACGTACGTTCCTCCCCCCGTCGACCGCTTCTCCACTGCCGAGCCCATACCAATCATCCCGAACCGATTACTGACGTACACTTCTTTACAGCTTCATCTCCGAGAGTCCAATCGTGGCAAAAGTGCAGTATTGGATGAAGATCACATTCGTCTTCATCCTGATTCTATTCATTGACAGCGTCAACCGCGTTTACCGCGTCCAAGTCGAGTTGGCGATTGCGACTGAGAACCAGAACAGCGGGTACGTCTCCTATGCCCCTCTTTCCGGCGTTCCTGAGACGCTCCCTTGATTGAGCACCACAATCAAACTCTACAAACTCCCTGATGTACACAACGCTAACAAAGATGTTGTACAGCGCCGCCGTCATGGGTCACGAGCGCCTTGAGGTGCAAGCCCGCAAGTTCTACTCCCAGCGCAACATGTACCTTTGCGGCTTCACCCTCTTCCTCTCCCTCATCCTCAACCGCACCTACGTCATGATCCTTGAGGTGATGCGTCTGGAGGACAAGGTCCGCGGCTACGAGGGCACCAAGGGCAACACCAAGGAGAGCGAGAAGCTTGCCGTTGCCGGTGATGCCGGTGAGATCGCCAAGCTCCGTAAGCAGCTTGAGGAGAAGAACCGCGACCTTGAGACCCTCAAGAAGCAGAGCGCCGGTCTGCACAAGAGCTACGACGAGCTCTCTGACCAGTACGCCTCCACCCAGCCCAAGGGTGACAAGAAGGCGCAGTAATTCAGCACAATGGATACGGAGATTCGATTCAATGAAGTTTTCTTACATGAACGAAAGCGCCGCCTGAGTGCGGCATAAAAAGGGGGTAGTGGGTGAGCGACAGAATAGCTCCGGGTCATTGGCCCGTTTCACTGGTATAGAGGCGTACGTAGGAAGCCTGGATGGCGTTAAGCTCTAGCTCTAATAAAGCTTCTCCTTTGAACACAATCCACTCCATACTTATGCTCCCAAAGTAGATGCTGCTTCGAGGCGCCTCGTTATGTCGACCGAGCAGAAAGACAGTATTGTCCCAGCTGTTGGATCTGGATGATGTATAAAATGCCACCCGCCTTCCATTTTCTACGGAGCTTCAAGCAGCTGGCACTTCGATTTCGGAGGTATGCACCGGTCAGGAAGAAGATCCACAAACAGGATTAACGCATCGATATCATCTGTCGATTTTACTGCTCTAATACGTCCCAATCAGCCAAAGCACTCTCTCGTACTGGGTAACTGTTGTCATCCTGGATTTATTCACAAGAGTATCAACGACGTTGCCACGGGAAGCTACAGGATGGTAATATTGGACGAATAATCAAAATGCACCTAGAATGGGAACAAAAAGTAATGCTATCGGTCATTTGGGCCACTAACAACGTGCTCACAACAAGGACAAACGCATCCCGTGTTCCTCGATACCCTCGCAGCCATGCGTCTATGACCCAAAGGTATGTATGATGCATCTCTTCTACGTCCTTATATAAGTCCCGCCATCTCAGTCATGACGGCCCCTCTTTGCTATTGCTGCCCGGGAGGTCGTATTCCCTCCCTGGGAAAGAACCGTGGGAAAAATGTATCTCGTGCTCAAAGGCTTGTCTGTCTGGAAACCTCATTCCATCTAGAAAGGCTCACAGCCCTTGCAAGGGCCTTGGAAGTTGGCCACGGCTCCGATGCAAGCGACGTCGGCGAGGGGGTCTACATCAAAGTCAGCCGTAATCCCCATGCGCTACTTCCACACATGAGTGACTTACTCAAGAAGAACTCATCGACAGCAGCTCCGCAAGCCGGGATCAGGGCCGCAAAGGCACCGATGCATGCTATTCCACCCCTTTCTGTCAGCCATGTCATATTTCCTAAAGGTGTGTGCATGTGTATTCGTGGAGGGAGGAAGAATGGAAAAAGGAGACTTACACCAGACATCGCAGCCTCTGGCCTCGTGACCTCTCAGTTTGGCAATGGCGTTGTTGCAGGCGCCGAGGTTGTTCGAGGTCTCGCACTGGTACTGCCTCTGCCTCTTTGCCAGGGTGGCCTCGACGGCGTTGGCGTCCGAGGGGACGGCGGATGCGAGGGGGAGGAGGGCGGCGAGGAGGGCCACGGTGTTGATGTTGAACTGCATTGTGTAGATTGAAGATTTCTTGAAATTTCTAAGAAGAGAAGGAGGAGTAGAGCAGTGGATGGATGGCTTGGGACTTGTTTGGAGAAGTGGACTTGATGATGGGAGGTATCTTGGTGAAGAGTTGTGTTCCATGGTGATGGACATCTCTTGTATTAATATATCTTGAAAGTCAGAGGTAGGTTACATTTCTGTTCGAAATCTGAATTCCTTCAACTGCTTTACCGATGAACATCATATGCGTAACTTCAATAATGAGGACTTGGCAATTTGGCGGTGATCCGACGAACAGGCTCACGAACTCGTGTTCGGACGGCCGGCTACCAGTGGGAGAGTTGGAAGCATGAAGAGATGAAGCATGAAGAGATGAAGCATGAAGAGGTGAGGCTTTCCAGGTTGCTTGGCAAATAACATCCACCATGGGCTCTTCTCACGGCGGTACGGCGGTGAAAGAAGTTGAAACACTTCGGGTATATTGCTTTAACCCGTGCTATAGAGATCCGTGGGAGGCTGGAACTTTCCTCATTCGACAATCACTCGTGTAGTCCAATCTAGAGAAACATTTGACTGGTCATAAACTTTCCGTAGAGTCCGACTCGATATTGGTTGTTTGTCGACTGTGACTGACACAGGTTCCTGGTCCAACTCTGGAGTTGTCGTTCGGTTGTTCCTTAGTACGCTCTTGGCAATGGGGGTCTCGGCCGAGTTGCCATCCACAAGAAACGGTTGACAACTGGGGTCTGGTTAAGGTTATGAGTTGTGGTTAAACGCGAAAGAAAGACTTCGGGGGGGAGTTGTCAACTAGTCTGATACTATAATTGATTAAACAAGAAGAAAGCTCACAGGTAACTTTTGCTGACTTTGATTGCGCCACGGTTGATCATGGCCTCTTATAGGACCCCAGTCTATGCAGATCAATGGGGATACTGGGAATTTTGGGAAAAGTTGGTGTCCGCTTCTGGCTTTATCAATCTCTAGAGCCTAGTGTAGGGAAAGATAAGAATTTGCGTGGATAGTATATTTCGGGCTCGCGTGGGATGCGGCTTGGCGCGTAAAAGTATCGTGAATCATGTTGCTGGTGTTGAAGGGCTTGAAGCGGCCGCTCCATTTTGCGGCCCTGGGTTGACGGACGGACGGAGTTACGAGGCCAAGGAACTTGGTCAACGAAGTCATGCATCTTGGAGTCTTGGAAAGTTTGTGGTCCATCACGCCTGAATGAGAGGTGGGAAGTTGATGCAAAGAGGAGAACTTGGTGAAGAGATGCGATAGTTGATGACTTGTATAAGATGACTGACGATGCCCGGTTCCTGGAAGAATAGTCATCTCATAGACATCATCCTCACTTCTTCAGTTAATCTCGTTTCTATCAGGCATCTAACTTGAATCATCTAAAATCCAACTTTTCCTCACAGCCAACATGAAGTTCAACGTCGTCAGCCTCATTTCCCTTGCAGCTTGGTATTAACATCCCCGCCTCTGGAAAGAATCTTTCCGCACAGCAAAATAATACAGTGATGAAAGCTAACGATGGAAAATCACCAGGGTGCCGCTCGCAGCAAGCCAATTCTCCTGCCACTGCCAAATCCTCAACAATGGCAACGCAGTCATTGCCGCAATCAGACTCTGTGACGCCGTTGGCGGAACCATCTGCCATAACTCCGCCGGGAACTACAATGTCGTAAGTGAAGCCTGTCTGCCATCTTTCTCCCATACACATTGTTCTTGCCATATCTGGCTGTTGGGAAAATGTAATGCTAACCGCAGTCTACGATGGGCAGTGTAAGACGTCAAGCCAGTGGACCGAGCAGCAGTGCAGGGACACGTTCCAGGGCATTAACCAGCCGAACGAGAGGTTCAGGGCTGTTTGCACTGCTTACAACGGCGCTGGGTGCCCGGCCTAATTCCGTCGTGTCATGTACCTAGTCTCAGGTGATAGACGGATTAGGGGACGTCTGATCCTCTATGGGGATTTCTTCGCGGATCGAGGGTTGTCATATGGATTAAGAGGAAGACAGTTCTAAACAATGATCAAAATGTTTTGCTCATACGATGAGAAGAGTGAACGAGTGACGGTCTTACCGTATCTTGTATCCAAATCATGTTGCTAGGTAGGCAACACAACAAGTGCTAGAGAGAGGAACAGCTTTGACTATGCCTTTGCTATCTATATAAACTTAACGGAACGAGTAGAAAAGCTTATACTACACTATTCCTCAGTATTTTGATTAACTAGAACACCCCATACATACTCCTGAACATCTATGGACCAAGTCCCTTCAACTTGTCGAGGCGCCCACGTTGGCATGCTCCCGGAACCTGTAGAAATTCCGACACCTCGCGTCCTCGCACCACGTCACGTTCTTGAACTCGATGTCGTCGGCTACATTGTGAGACGAAGGGTCCAAAGCCTGGTACCATTACGAGTCGCAAGGCTCCAACGCCTCGGTAGTAGACATGCGCCGCCGTATCGAGCGCCTGGGAGACAAGATGACGCAGCGGGCGTGTTGACTACAGCGCGAGAATTCAATATGTATATATGCCGTGCCGTCTCCAGACCACCGATCCTCTCTGTGATAATCTGCCTCGGTGCGATTAGTACTCGTACTTGTAGTCAAGTCTCTGTCTCGAATCTTTTGGGGGAAACTTACGGGGACACTCGTTTGCAGATGGATTCCAGCTGAACGAGCCAGCAATGCCCTCCAGCTGGATTCTCTCCCTCTCGTTCCCGTCGACTATGCAGATGCAACGAAATGGCTTGAAGCACGCCATGGCATCGATTTGACGAGGGTCTTCCTCTGGAAACCATAGACAGGGCGACTGCCTCCGCTGCGTCTCTAGGCGTTGTCAGAGATCGCTGGCAAGTAACAATGATCCCGGTTGTGCTCTAAGCTTGTATGCGGGAATCTTTACATGGGCCCTCTTGTCGAGACCAATTTCACTGGCCCAGGAAGCGTAGCCATTCGTATGCTCGAATGTTGCCTTGACTTCACTGGGTGTCCCTGTCACAGCTGTGTGCGGTGACATCCCAAGCCGCGCGCGGAGGCCGACTGGCTTTTTTGAAGCTCCTAAGTGATCTGGATGGTTGCATGTGATGCTCGTGTCCGCATTGGTGGTCGAAGAAGTGTGCACGAACTCGTCCCAGCCAAACGTCCTGTGCTCGCAGAGCCTGATGTGTCCCTCTCGACCGATGCAGATCCGTGTATCGGGCTCCTCTTGCCGTTGCTTTACTGAGAAGAGGGATGATGGATGGTCTCGACGGCAGCCTGAACAGTGTAACGGTGAGACTGCCGCTCTATACTTCTGGCTAGAGTGATCCCTGTTTTCTGTGCAAGATCTGCAGAAAGGACCCGATGTGTTGTTTGAGCGCAATATATCTCTTGCAGTTGGATTGCGAGATGTAGCTGAAATCAAAGGGCGCGTGTTGGCATCACCCAGCCGCCAAGATGAGTTCTTTGGGTTATCCGGCACTCCAGTAAGGTTGCAAACGGTCTCTTCTTCATCTAAACCATTTCCTGGATCCAGGAAATCCCCCTCATCGGTAGTGACGCTACCTATAAGGTGATCAGGGATAGGGTCGCCGTCGTCTTCAATTGTCAGAGACTTACTGCCTTGGTGTGTATCATCATGTAAGTTCTCTTCGGCCTCTTCGATAACAACGGGGATATTTGTGGCTCGAAAGAGGCGTTGCAAGTGGCCTAGAATAAAACATAGGGGGCAGGGCAACCCAGGAGGCGCGTCGTTTGCCATCTTGGAAATTGGACGCAGCGTCGAAGCGGCAGATGTCTGCGTTAGTGGGCGGAGCAACTTACTTATAGATATCTGCGAACCAGAAAAGTTGTGCGGAAAGTCTTCCCGCATTGAAGCAGAAGGCGCAGCATAGATTTAGCTTTTCTACATCTGTGTAGGCAGACACTTAATGTGAAGAGGAAAATCAAAGTGTTGGAGTCGAAGTGATGTAGTTCAGATATCCAGCTTTGAATCAGTTCTATAGCTGCCGCTCCCACTATTGCCCTTGGAAGCATGAGTCCATTGCCATGTATTCACGGTAGAATATGCCCATGAAGCCCTATAGCAAAGGCAAGGACTTATATAATAATGGGCTAGGCACTCGTGGTAAAGACACCATGAGTACTGAATCCCTCGGATTAGAAAAGCAGGATCAAAAAGTTGTCCGCCGGAAGGTGCGATACGTAAAGAGAAGGAGGAGCACGGTGATATTGTCTCCTTCCAAGCTGGTAAAATGACACCTGACCCTCGACCACCGACTTCCTAACTTATCTCATCCTTCTCATCACCCCCATACCTTTTCAGAAAAAACACTACACACGAAGGATTAAGAAATCATCCGGTGCCCACACAGCCGCCTCCTTCGATTTTCAAAGCCCAACTCAACCTTTCCTTCACCGAGCACCCAAACATCGAGAAGAAAGAAATCCCAACTTACACAAAACCAACAACTTCTCCCCCCTCCAAAGCCAACTACATACACCACACAATGGAGCAAACCCAAGCACCCGAGACCAGAGAGACCAGACCTCGCCGCATCCGCCTTCACCACCCGTACGTCACATCACATCACATCACACTACGTCGCAGAAAAAAAGAACATCTACAGACCCAATAAACAAGGAAGAAACAATAGCTAACCTTTGACTCACAAAATACAAACAGAGGCCGCTTCAAAACCTTCACCCTAAGTCTCATGTGCGCCACCTTCGCCGTCTTCGGCGCCCTCGTCATGGTCGCACTCGCCCACACTCCCAAGGTGAACAACGAAGTCCAAGCCATCAACTCGACCATCGCCACCGGCGGTGACTCTACTACAGCTGCTATCATCGCCGTCACCGCTGCCACTAGCCATGTCCCTACTCCTGTGAAGAAGGTCCCCCACGAAGACGAGGAGAAGGGTCACGTCCTTCCCGAGGTCACCACCAAGGCTACTACCACGCTGTACGCCGATGACAACACCACGCTCATCTTTACTACTCACAGCTCCCAGGTCTTGGTCGTCGTTGAGAGTAATGCTACTTCCGTTTAGAATGTCTTTCGGCAACACCTGGCCGGCCATCCTATCGACCGAGGTCACTTCCGGGGTATCGTACAGATTGAAGGAGGTGGGCATGTAGGGAGGTCTTTCGGGTGAGGTGGTGATGCAGTGGGCTTCGTCATATCGTTTGTTTGCTCTGGGAGAGTTCGTAGCACGGCGGAGGATCGTACCGGTGTAGAGAGAACAATGGGTTTTGGCCAATGATGTCACGGGAACGAGGGAGAGTGAGAGGCATTCTGGTCTTGCTGTTGCGTTCACTGTGGTGGACATTAGAACAAAGAGGCAACTTGCTGTTGTAAGGGAACCCAAGGGATACTAAGTTCCTGGCGATGCTTCGCGCTTCGTTTGAATGGATCCAACGGCAAGGATTCAGAGACGTCACTAGGTTCACAATGCCATCGAATACCAGAATCCTGAACGATATTTCTTCCTCTCAAGTGATTGCAACAAAAACTTTTGACTCTTCTTCTTCTCTGTTCCACTTCCAGCTATACCTCATGTTTCCTCAAAGTTTGAGTTACGTCGAGGATGTAACTACATCTGAACGCGGCATCTCCGCGCTGAACGAAGCTCAAGATAGAAAGAAAGGTATCTCTCCACCTCTGATTTTTTTCCCCCGCGGGCTTCTCATTCCAGGTCCAGATATAACTCTAATGCTTCTTTCACGTTGTCCATATAACCAGCATCTAGCCCTCGGCCTCGTAGGCGTGAGACTTGTGCTTGGGCTGGAACGTAAAGTTGGGGTGAGCGGGACCGAGGAACATCTCGCTGTAATACGAGTTAGCAAAATCGTTCTTGAACACATGGCATTCACCCAGGCAGAAAAGTGCAAAGAAAATTCAACCAACACGTACCTAATCTTGATCCAATCCTTGTAGTTCTTACTAGCAAGCAGCGTCTCCAGGTCGTCGCGACCGCGGTACGCCGGCGGGCGATCGTTCAGATCGGGCGGCAGGTGCTCCAGCAGGCCGAGGGGCACGTAGCGGTGCGAGAAGCTGAGCCACTCGAGCAGGAAGCGGCGCGTGAAGCCGATGCCCAGCTCGTCGGTGCCCCAGGCCTCCATGCCGTAGCGGCAAAACTTCTCCACGTACGCCAGGCGCTCCGTCGCCGACTTGTCGAGGTACTGGCCCTTTTCAATCTCCTCAAAGAGCCAGGGCTTGACGAGGGCGCCGCGGCCAATCATGAGGGTGTCGACCTTGGCCTTTTCGACGTGCTCAAAGTACTCGACGTGGGAGTAGCAGTCGCCGTTGCCGAGGAAGAACATGCGGCCGTCCTTGGCGTTGGGGAGGGTGGACTCGTCCGCCTCGCGGACCGTGTCGGTGATGTCGTCCTTTTGCTCGTTGTAGGCCTTGATCATGGCGGCGCACTCGGCAATGTAGCCCCAGTCGGCCTTCTTGGTGTACCGCTGCTCCCTGCTGCGGCCGTGGAGGGTGATGGCCGCGCAGCCGGGGGCGCCGAGGCGGTCGCGGTTCTCGCGGGAGCCAAAGGCAAGCTTGCCGAGGATGGTCGTCGCCGTCGGACGGTTCTGCCTGACGCCGGTGCGGAGCTTGACGGTGATGGGGATCTCGCCGGACACGGTGTTCATGCCGCGGACCATGCGCTCCAGCTTGCCGTGGGCCTCGAGCAGCGCGGAGCCGCCGCCCGACTTGAAGACCATGTCGATGGGGCAGCCGCAGTTGAGGTCGATGAGGCGCAGGTGGGGCACGTAGCGGTTAAGAAGATCGGCCGACTTTACACAGTGCCATGCCTGGCTGCCGGAGATCTGAGCTCCAAACTTGAGATCGCGCGCGTTATCGTAGCCCTGGACGATGTTGCTGTCCGGGTTGACACGGGGCGGGCTGATCTCGGACTCGTGGGCCTTCATCAGCGCCCAGTCGTTCTTGACACCTTGAACCAAGGGCATACCCAGGGCCATCTCGGAGTAGGTGAGTTGCGCGCCAAGCTCGACGCAGAGGCGGCGGAAGGGCAGGTTGCCCTGGGTGGTCAGGGGCGCCAGGGCGGGCGTCTCCTTGCCAAAGTACAGCTTGCGCTTCTCGGACGGCTTCAGGGGCGGGTCGACAAACTGCGCGCGAAGGTCCTCCTGGGTGCTAATCACTTGGTCTTTGCGGCGCTGGTGGAACGCATCGCCCAGCTTCGCCTCCTTGTTCATCCAGGAGATGTACTTATCGGTCTCCGTGAAGTCGATGCGCTTGCGGCTGAGGTCGATCTTCAGCTGGTTCTCGGTGTTGTTGTAGACGCCGGGACGGAGATCTTCGCGACCGGTCTCGGCGGGCGCTTCGCCGCTCGTCTTCGTGGCCTCCTTGGGCTCCTCGACGAGAACGAGCTCCTTGCGGCCGTCCTCGTGGTCAACCTCCTTCATGTGGCTCTTGACGAAGCGACACTTCCAGCCGGACGAGCAGAACCCGAACTGCTCGTAAACGGGGCACTTGCCCTCAAAGGTCTCGAGGTCCTCGCGGCGGCCCTCCCTGAGATACTTGCGCAGATCATGAAGCATGTTGCATCGCTCTCCAAACTTGCATTCGCGCGGGGAGAACTCGGGGGCGTAGGCGCGGGTGTTGCAGAGGCGGAGATTGTCGTCAAAGTGACCAAAGGTGCGCTCCTTGTTCTGGCCCTTTTCCCGCTTCTTCTTGTCGCGCTTGTCACGGCCGTCACGACTGTCACGGGCATCGCGGCTATCGCGAGCATCGCCCTGGTCACGACCCTCGGCAGCATCATCGTCGACGACCTCATCTTGCTCCTTCACTTGACCCTCCCTGTGAATGAGAAACCTATTTCACATGTCAATCTCGTGAGTCTGTAGAACATTCTGAGGGATACCCACTCGGCCTTGATTGGCGCCTGGCCCTTTCTCACGTCTCTGGCATCTTGCTTCGGCTTTGCAGACTCCCCCTCGTCCGGCTTTTCGACAGCAGGTGCCTCGCTCATCGGGACATCAGCCTTCTCACCGTTGCCAGTGGCAGGGACAGGCTCCACGCGCTTCGTAGCCTCATCGACAGCAACGCGTTCCTCAGCAGCCTGAGCCTCAGCAGGCTTCGCAACCTGCTCAGTCTGCTGCGGCGTGGAATCGTCCACCTTAAGACGCTTCGCTGCGCGTTGCTCAGACTCGTCGATCTGGGGCTCTTGGTTCTCCATTTTTGCCCCTCAAGTTTCTTTTCCTTGGGTGCTACACAGATGGAGAAGGCGTCGAATTGGCTCTTCCTGAAAGAGAAAGTCAGATAGAGGACGAGCCAAGGATGTGGCTGGGAAGGAGAAGGTGTGGGTCAGTTAAAGGTCAAGAAGTCCCAACTGAGGTTGTGAGAGGAAGAGAGAGTGAGAGAGAGGATGAAAAAGGGCAGTAGAGGTAGATTTTTCTACCTACTTTTCCGCTTTCGACTTGAGCTGGAGAAGTCGTAACTAGCCACAGTAGGAGGCGGGAGGGTCAATTCAGTATGCGAGATTCGCTTCTGACTGATTCAAATCGCTCCGCTGAGCAATTGGCAATGGAGAATGTTCGTCTGTATTGCAGTTCGTCCTTCTCGAGGTTACGGCTTGAAGGGAAAAAGTTGATGTCACAGGCTGAGCTCAGAACGTTAAGTGGGGCAACCTCATGGAGGGGCACAGTTCGCGCGATGCAAGCGCGGCACTCCGTTACACTCAGATGCCTTGCATTCAACGTCAGCTCGCCGCACGCTGTTCAGCTGAAGCTCATTTATTCATACTGCATACATCTATAGTTCGTTACATTACTGGAAGAAGATTGTCACGGCAAGAATTCATCAAGCAATCAAAGGACCAAGCATACAAAATCGAATCCTGGTTCCCACACCCTTACTACCTTACTGTATAACCATGATAGACCCCGCTAGTCGATGCCTTCATCGATGAACATTCGGAAATAGACTGGATGTACGCTGTATCTCTAGCTCGCAGTGCAACTGTCCGAAACAGGCTGGCAATCGAGAGCTCTCATCAACCATCATCCACCAGTTCCCAAGGGCCGCAACCGATGCATGCCCTCTCGTCCTATCGTATCGAGGAAACCCGCAAGATTCCCAGCTGCTTCCTGCTCTTGCCCGAGCCGTGTCTAGAGATCGAATAACGAACGGCCACCTGCTAGAGTTTGACCCTGCCAAGTATCCCAACCTGGCCATCACTCGACTCGGCTATTACGCCTTTCGCAGGCATCGTCCGTGTTATGACCGGTCTCGAGTAGGCGCTCATGTCCTTCGGGGAATTCCACCTGCCGAGGGTATTGGTGATGCCGCCGGAACCGCATGCTTCGCCTATTGTGTTCTGATCTGAAATGTTCTGCCCGGTTGCCCGACTGATTGTAACTCATAATAATCCATCAATGAATGGAGATTCTCTGCTGTCCCACGTCTCCCCGGCGTACCTCCTCATCAAACGCTTCGCGGCTCGACATGTGCAGGCTGCGCCAATGTTAGTGACTGCGTAGTCTTTGCGTTCCAAGTTTCTCTCATGTCTACTCACCGGACTGTTGAGCATGCTCTGTCTCTTGTTCCTGCCCTTCTTAATGTGGCTCTTCAGCGCACTCGAGTCTAGCGGCTTAAGCAGCTCGAAGCTGCAAAGCAATTCATTCGAAACGGACATGACCGCACCCCAGTTGTCGAACTCGCCACAGTACTATGACCGCATGTCAGCAGAGCTCGTCCAGAACAATTGGTAGAGACTTACGTTGGGGGCGCTGAAGACCGTTACAAGAACTCTATCGTTGAAGAATTCGTAGCCGTCCTCAACCACCATGTGCGCTCGACAAATCAAGTCAAAGTCGTGGGTCGCAAGGAAATCCAATATCACTCTTTTGCCGAAACAATAGCTCACGCCTCTCTCGTTGGCCTCCCAGTCTTGCTCCATGTCAGCCGGATCAGACCACAACAGGTCGTTCAGCAGGCCGTAGTCGGGAACATCGGTAGGTCGAGCAATGTTGCGAATGTCGTCCATGTGGCTGAGGGCGGGGGAGAGACCTCCGTGCACACAGAAAATTTTGCCAGCGACGATGGCAGCAATCGGGAGGGTGTTGAAGCAGTCAATGAAGGTCTTCCAGATCTTGACATTGCAGCGGCGCTTGCACTCATCGTAAAAACCGTACACTCTCGTAACATTGGCGCACTCATGGTTTCCTCTCAGCAAGAAGAAATTTTCGGGGAACTTGAGCTTGTAGCACAGAAGCAGCAGGATCGTCTCGAGAGACTGCTTGCCACGGTCGACGTAGTCGCCCAGGCAGAGGTAGTTGGATGAGGGCGGGAAGCCACACATCTCGAACATGCGAAGCAGGTCCGTGTATTGGCCGTGTACGTCACCGACAATCTTGACCGGGGCGTCAAGCTCCAGAAGAGCGGGTTGGGAGAGGAACACTTCGCGAGCCCGTTGGCAGATTGCGACAATTTCGGCGTTCTTCAAGCACACGCTCTTTGTGACCTTTCCAGCGTAGCCCGCGTCCAGAAGACGCTTGATGAAGTCGTCGAGGTCGATGTCCTTGATCTCGCTCATGGCAACACCTCCCTCATGTCTATCCCCCGAGTTTGTCGACGAGGTTTTGGCGACCGGGGTTGCAGCGCCATCTGCGTTCTTGGTGGCCAGGATGGACTTGCCCGGCTGCTGCATGTGGGTATTGAGACTGCCTCCGGCACAAGGGGGTTGGTCGGAGACGTGGTCGACCTCTCCTGATGCCTGCGCTGCGCTCACGTCGTGAACACCGCTCTTGATCGTGCTGGACTGGGTCGGGGATGGCGGCGGCTGAGAGTCATCGAGCGGGGATTCAATGTCAGTCGAGGGGGACGTCGGCGACGTGGCGGAGTCATTGCGGCTTCGGGGGACACCGGACTTTGCGCTTTTCCCCGACTTGACCGAAGCAGCGTCGGATTTTTCTTCGGTAGGGGAGGTGATGACTGAGTTCCTTGGGCTGTCCGTCTTGCTCGAGCCGGGGATCTTGGACCTCAGGGCCTTGAAGGAGCGGGAAGAGTCCTTGGTGTCGGATCTGCCAAAGGAAGGGTAGGACTTGAGAGGTTCAGCGGTGCCGTCGCCACCGGGGCCTTTGGTGGAAGCGTGGCCACCCTCCTTGGATGGCTGGTTTCCCATGATGTAGCTCTTATGCCGATGCAAAAGGAACAACGACGATTATCGATGTAGGTGTCGTATGTCGGGTTGTGCGCGTGGGCTGGCCTCGTCTTCGTCTGATGTATGGCTGGCCTACACGTCTCGCCGCAACAGCCCGAATCTGGCAGGGACTCGAGATGGGAAAATGTAATGTTGTGTCGCAGTAGGGGGTCCTAGGGAGGATGGAATAGACGATCGAGGATGGACAGGAAGCGGATGCGGGAGGGAGAGCGGCGTCCACTTGAGTTGTCCGTTTTGGGCGCGTTAAGGCGATTGCCTTTGATCGATCGCTGGAGATGGGCAGGAGGAAGAAGAGGAGGAGGGTCGTATGTAAGCGAGGAAACGGGCGGCGAGTGACGTATACGTGGCTCGCGGGCGGCGGTTATGTCGGGTCAAAGAAACGACAAGAAGACTCGAATGAAGTCGGCAGGCGCGGATGGATTGGAGCTATGGAGGCATTTGTCGACGACTGCGTGGGAGGAGTTTTTGGTCAGCCTTGTTCAGATCGTGTGGGCTGGAGTCTGGAGATAAGGCGAAAGAATCCGAGGTGTTGTTGGTGAGTATGTACGGGAGGAGAAGGTACAAGGAGGGACGGATGAATGCAGGACGGGCGGGACTGCTTTACCTTAGGCGACAGGCATGGGGGCAGAGCGGGTGGGTATTAGAATTGGGCTCTGTACCTCGATGGATAGAGAGACTAAGAGGCACCTTCTGTGGAAAGGCTACAGATACCTGAGGTGTGCTAAAGTAGTCGCAGGCTCAATGGAATGCGGGGGGGCTATGACGGATGTAGCCAGCAAGTTGATGTGTGTACCAAGCGGTGGTGGTAAAGTCGTAAAGTGGTAGTGGTAGTATTTTAGTAGTGGTAGTCTGCACAAGCAAGGTAGAACAGCAGTGGTGGGTGGCCGGTAAGGTTGAGTAATTAATTGGCAATGGAAGATAGAAAGAGGCGGAAGAACAGCAGTTGGCAGCGGCAAAGATGGCGAGGGGGGTTCCTTTGTGTACGTGCAGCAGCGTGCGTGTGTTGTTGTTGCTCAGGTAAGACAGGTGGACAGATAAATTGGAGAACCTTGGAAGGATATCCGTACAGAGCAATTGGCAACTACTGGGTGGGCCAAGGTTGTTCGAGGCGCACGCAATGCACAAAGTTATCGGGACAGCAGCCGGTGTATTATGCATGAAGGGGTAAGTGGTCTGGTGCTCTGGGGAAATGGACTTGATGTACTTGTTTGTGTGTGGCGTGAAGGTGGTTTGAGTGGTGAACTGAAGTGAGCCTGGTTAGGTGAGGTGGGTGGTGGTGAGAAAGTTAGTACTCATCAGATTCTACTCAAAAAGAGGACGAGTCCAGTCCAAGTCCAGTCCAGTCCCCGGTTCAACCGAGTTCCAGGAATTCCAGCTGTGTGCCTGGTTGCTCGTTGCCCCCAAGCACCAGTGGCACCCAAGAGTCCCAAGATCAAGGTCCCAATTTCTTGGTTAGTGGCCGGGTGCTGTGGTGCTATGGTGTGCTGCCAAGGATCCAGAGATGGAGTTGGGTCACCCTTTTTTTCCCTTGTACTATTTCCCCTGTCGTTGGTGTCTGAAACCCACGGGCTAAACTGGGCTGGGCCGGCCTGACCTCCAGCTTGTCTGTGACACTCTGTGCTGCACAGCTCGTATATATATCTGTTACCTTGCTCTGCCTTGTTACGCCTGTTCAGCTTCCCTTATGCTGCCCTGCTTTTGGGCAATGGAATTGATCTAGGGTAGACAAGGGAGGAGGGCAAATGTGTGGGACATATTGGGCAATAAGGTAGGTGTGGTCTGTTGGGTGCTTATCTCTGATAACCTCGATTGACCCTCACGAGAGATGGAAACCGGACCTTGGTTTGCCTTCTGCAGGCGGAATTGAGTTGAACAATCCAACATGGCCCAGCCAGATGAGCCAGATGATTTATGCTGGGATGAAAGTATCCGTAGCCACAAAAAGTGTAAAAGCGCTTGGGTAATTGATCCTTTTTTCGAGCTCCAACCCCTGTGTCGATGTTGCAAAGAAAAGGTTGAGACGAAGAAAAGAGAGAGTCCCGGCACGATACTTCATTAGGTACATGGCAAGAATACATTCAAGTTGGCAGACAAGTCAGTAAGCACACGTTCACGCAGAAGGGGTATTCCCAAGACTGAAGCCAAGTTTCATCCTATACTGCACAGAATGAAGAGGAGAAATCGCACCACATTTACACACATTGACTTTGTGGACGATGCAGTCACTCTATCGGCACCTAGGTATGCCCACCTTGTACAGAGTAGAGCCCCTCATTGCTCTCTCTTTATTGCTGCTCGTTCTTCCCCATTTCAAGCTTGGCAGCCAGTCAGACCACAGTGCGTTGAGGCTCAGCGCAAGACAAGCCGAGTGGTCAGGCCCCAGAATTGGATCACCATCTATCCATGACCCATTCCAACATGCAAGCGCAGTGATGACTGCTGCAGCTCGTCCTGCTCGCAAGAGGAGAAAAAGGGACAAGGTTTGGTGCCAATGAGACCATCACCCAAGGAGGAATAAGTTCTCCGCCAGCAGATAGCCCGGGGGCCTGGACCTCCTCCGCCGCACCACCACCACCACCACCACCACCATCATCATGGCACCAACAACGGCTTGTATTCTCTCCTACTGGACTGGAGGAATGAGGAGAAGCTACGGATACTTACCTCTTGTTTCTTGCCACCCATTCTCCCCCTCCCCTCTCCTCCACCGTCCCGCTCCCGCTCGGTCAGATTTCGACCGCCTTTCCCCAGTGACGGCACTTGAGTGGTTCCTGTCCAACGTGTCAACGTATCTTAGCAGGCCTTTTCTGCTACCAATTACTCCGTGTAAAACTACCCGCTTCCCTTGCGCTGCTTGTATCCGACGCGTGTTCAACTTCTGGTGTTGCATTATCGTCTTTGGAGCAAATGCTAGGTACTTCCCAGCTATACGTATGCGCGTTCGAGTTTGGGTGTGGCAGTCCGGCGGAGAGGGGAGGGAGGAAGGAACAAGACAAAGATGAGATGAGACGAGAGGGGAGGGGAGGAGAGGGGAGGAAAGCCGAAGGGGAAGATACGTGTGAAGGGGGTGGAAGACACGGGAGGATGTTGAGAAGTGACCATCGTGCGATCATTACCTAGGTAGCCTTTCGGGTCACATTGTCAATACTTGTGCTCCGCATGGTACCATTTCTATCTTTCAACGGTTCGAGTGCTTTCAAACATCGTTTCTGCGTTTGATCATGAGCCGAGGATTCGTTGATGGTTCACAATCATCCACACGCCCGCGTGCATGTCTGTCTGATGAGTCGCATCACCACTTGCAGTCGCTCTCGAATCCAGGAAAGTAATAACTGTCTCTCAAACCTCCGATCTTCCGGCTCCAGTGCAGCGGTGTAATAGACACTGACTGATCATCCTCCTCCCCACACTACCAACGGCCCAAAAGGACAAGGACGAGCGAATCGAGAAAAGGTTGGATGAAATGAGGATCCCGACGCTGACATTCCATTCCAGAAAATAGGTGTGATACATTCCTTTGGTGCGTTGTCCCCGCGTCCATGCGAGCACGTGCTGCACCTGGCTGCCGTGCGACCAAGGTGGTTGAGGAGGGCCTCAAAAAATGGCGGGGGGAAGCGGTTTTCTGGCTCCCACGTTGCCAGAAAATCCAGCAAACAGGAATCTGGGAAAGGCAGCTGAGACGGCAAGCCGCGTTGTGTGTGTGGCCCATGATAGGTTATGCAGCTGCAGGTTGGCGCCGTAGGTCTCATAGAAGTTTGAGGAACGGAGTGTGATTCACGAAATCGGGAGTATCGTTTCCAGAGCGCACACATGCAGCCAGACGGGATAAATCGAAATACCAGGTGACTTCTTGACCCTCCGAAGACGCAGAGACACACGAGTCCTCACCGAACCGCAGGTGGGCATAACCGCGCGCAAAACTCGGTCAGTCGGTAGGGTTCGTCCAAGTCGGCATTCCGAGGTATGAATACGCCACCAAGCCGGCCGCGCGAGAGCGAGTTCATGCGGATGGTGAGATGTCTTGTAATGCCGCCGCCGTGCACCGCGCGTCAAGCCGGCATCGCCGCCTTCGGGAGGGAGGGGCATTGGTGTCTGGCCCCGCCGGACATGGACCCCCGAACCGTCAAACCAGCTCTGATTCTTGGTGGCTGTCTTATTTATCAGGATGGACTCGGAAGTCGGCCAAAAGAAGGTTGCGTGGTTGGTGGTCCTATATCTGGGGGACCGCTATTGCAGGCCCCTCCCCTGCCGGACTTGTCCCTGCCTGGGATTCAGGGTCTCTCGAAATCTCGCTCTCGCCGCTGAAACGGATCTCGACTCGAGTTGAACTTTTTCGAAAACGTCGTTCGAGGCTCTTGCAGTCGCGGCGTGAGGTGAGTGGGGGACGGAGAAAAATTCGAGGTTTGATCGCACTTCTGTTTCCCGGGATGTACTCCGTACGCGGGGCAGCATGGCAATGGGCATCTGGGTATTAGCTCCTCGACGGGCAGCGTTGCAGCCAAGGCCTGAGATGCGACTAATAGTCCAAGTACTGCCAAATAAGGAAGCAAACAAAACACCAAAGAAGCATGGCAGAAAAGAACAACTTACACGACATGGGGCAGGAATGGGTCTGTTGGGCATATCTCTTTGCCAAGTGCAGCAGTGCAGTAACAACGATGACGAGATTCAGATAATGCGACGAACCAACGCAAAGCTGCAGCGGCCAGAGTTCGTCTCTCCACAAGCCCCATGAGCCAAAATTCGAGCTCTAGCCTCTAGCGAGCACAAGCTCCACGCCGAGATGCAAAGGTAGAGCTTGGTGTAGCCGAGCCACGATGGTGTTCGCGGTCGAGTCGTACGTACTGCGTACTTTGCGGGAGCTGTCAAATCAGCAAAAGGCTGAGAGGTGCTGCGAGCCCACAACTGGTAAAGAGACTCGACATCGCTGGCGGGGCCAGGGAATCGGGTTTTGGTCAAAAGCCATCAACGGCCCCTCTTTAGGATACAGGCTAGATGTCACCGCCGCGCAGCATGCATCGGAGGTTGATAGTGTATATTGATAAGGTGGTCGAGTGGATTCATGTTTCTTTGCTTTCTCGCCGAGGTAGGCGAGGACGGCACGGGAGCTAATCTATGGGTTCGGGCCCTGTTCCTGGAGTTTGCGCTGGACAATGGTGGCGGTGATGGCTTCGTCACGGGTCGAGAGGTCGTGACCAGCCAATGACGATGGATTCAAGGTCGCTTTGTTAGGCTGTTCGAGAAAAAGCTCGGCAACCTTAAAAAATTGAGAGAGCATGGAGCCACAAGGCCCTCGGGAGGGCCCCGTATTGGAACTGAGCCTCGCGATGCGTGATTCGGCGCCGACGACCGGAATGTGGTTGTTGGACCCGGGCGTTGGTGGCCCGTTTGGTTGGCAGTTGGGCGGTGTTGGACGAATTGTGGGAAGGGAAGAAGAAAAGAGACGGGAGGATGTTTCTAAAATTAGCTGAGAGAGACACACACAGAAAAAGAGGGTTCCATTCCGCCTCCGGCTGGTGCTAGTGGGAATTGGGGGGAATGGGAAGCGGGTCTCAACTTCTAAGTGGGCGATCTGGCGAAGCCCGAAAAGATGACCAGCCACCATCATTAATACCACCTCACCCAGCCCAGCCAGCCAGCCTAGCTCGAACTCGATAGCCGGTTGTTACCAAGCACGTCCCGTGGGGCTGAGCTGACTACGAATATCCGTACAGGGGGCCGTCGAAATGCCCATGATGCTGGGCTGGCGGTATTCGTAAATGCGCAGCAAGGTACAGAGTAGACCTAGGTATGGCAAAAAGAAGAATTCGGAACGTGGGCATTGAATAATCCGGTGCCAAGTGCTGCAGTGCAAAGTGTTACAAAACTACACTAGGCCCCTTTTGTGCTGCCGTAATTCTCTCTCTCCCGCACTTGTGAACTTGTGAGAAGGAAGAGCAAAAGAAAACAGAGCTGAGCCTCCGCAGGATGACGAACCCCTGGACCACTTTAATTGCGTGGACGGATGGAGCCCAAACTAGCAAGCTTGGGACGTGTCAGACAACGAGACGGGCTGCCGATCAAGGCAAATCGTTGATGTAGATGCGACTCTGATGAGCACATTGAGCATGTTGGACCTGTTTTGTTTCTTGCTCTAGTCGCCTCTAGTTTACCTATCCCTCAAGCAACACACCAGCGATCGGCTGTTCCCCAAGGATGGTGATATCAGACAGGGACCACTCATTCCCATGTTTCTTCATGGGATTTGGGAGGTTGGCCTGGCCGGGGGTTCATGTTTCTCCAAACTCTGTGTGAAGCTCTGTACACGACAGTATACAGTGATCACAGTGTGCGATGATGATGCTTGGTGCGCCGTTCCATCTCATCTTTTTCCGACCTTCCACGAGTCCGACCGGCCACAAAAAGCCAAGGACGGATGAGAGGTACGAGGCCATGGACGCGTACGACGGGATGAGAGAAGCAAAGCACACAAAGTGGCAACGTTCCAACTTCCCGAAGACCTTTCGCTGTTCGGGAATAACAATCAGTCACACACATATCGGCTTTACCACGCCGTCCTCACTTGAGTCTTTGAGGTAGTCTATCTTCTTTCGGCCTAGGTAGGTATCTCTACAATAGCATATTCTAAGCTCAGCTCCATGGTTTCTTGGCCTGGCTCTTGGCCCGGCTCTACATTCAATCAATCTGCGGCGGCTTTTGCTGTACGGTGAGATTGGACTTGTTACTTCCTAGTCCGAATGGAAGTCATCCCAAGCCCAACTCATAGACTGGCCGGCATCGCATCCCGTCCTTTCAATGATGACGATTGGCATGCATATGGTTCGAAACATCTCAAGTCCGCATATCTCTTGGAGAAGTCATTGATCATTTTGAAGGTGAATCTGTTGAAGCAATCTGGTGAAGCCGAGGCAGCAGGATCTCGAGGGAACAGAATCCCGGGCTCGACAGGTGAAGGTGAGCAAGGTTTGACGCCAGTGTCAGAAGGTACCCGTGCGCAGGCAGCATAGCCAGAGAGGTACTCGCCTGTGGCGTCACCATGGTACCTGCTCACGCTGCCCTACGGATGGACATCCCTGTCAGGCTGTCAGCATCTATCCGTACCTTTATTCCTAATTCCAGGCCTTCCCCATCTTGTTCCCCGGCTGGCTTCAATGTCTGTGTCCTGACAGAAAGAATAGAGTAGTAGCAGAGCTTCTGGAGCGGACACATAGCAGTGTTTGGAAGGTGCTGCATCGGTCATTTCCATCGTCAAAGGCCAAGACGGCAAGTTTGAATGCGTGAATGCCTTGCGGACATGTGCGGACATGGGTGATGATTCGAGAGTCGCGTTCGATACAGTGTTTTTGCACGGCATGTGGGAGGAAGAGGACGAAAAAAACACCACCACCAGGACCACCACACGTCAAGAAAGAGGCTCGGAGAAAAGAGTGGAGGAGAGGAGAGCCACAGAATACTTAGCACAGCACAGCATAGCAGCGCTCCCGCACCTCGTTGGTTTACAGCTCGGCTCCCGTCTGCTATTTGGCAGCCTGGGGTCTGGCTGTCCTGTCGACGCCGTTGCTCGGTCGAGGGATTCTCCAGGGTCATGGGTGTTCCTAGTAAAGCCGGGGGCTGAGTCGTGGCCCGCTACTGTGCAGCCCGTCAGCAACGCAATCTTTGCCTTACTGCTGCTGTGTGTGCCAATACCTACTGCGGAGGCTTGAAGAAAAGTGAATAGCTGCCTTACCTAATCACACACTGTCCTATTGTACGGAGCACAGTGGTGGTAGCCGTCCCATCTCCACCAAAAAAAAGCTGGTGCCGTGTTCACTGTTCGCGACTTCGCGGTACTGCGCCACGTCCGCGTCCCTGTCCATGTTCCGCTTCCCACGGTGCCCACTGCCCACCTCCCACCCACTGCGGCCTGCCCACACCCCCAAGCAAAGCAAAGCAAAGTGCAAGTGCCCCAACCTGCCCGCCCTGCGCCTTCCTTGCCGTACTGTGCCTTACGCAAAAATACGTAACGGCACTTCCAAGCCTGCACCTGCGCTCCTGCACCCTCTTCCTACGGTTTTATAAACATCAACGCTCGTCCGTCTGTGTCAGCCTCCTACTTCTAACACTCATCACACTCACATCCGTTTGCCTCTCTCTCGCATACACACTACTCTCAAAAAGGGCTTCCCATCTTCCCTTTTCTTCCTCTCTCCCTCTTTACATACACACACCACTCACCTACCAACGATCGTTGCTTTCCTAGTTACACTCGTTGACGACAAGCCGACGACCCACTTACCGAAGTCGGCCTACTGCAAATAACTACAACTCTAAACTCTTATACAACAATCTTCAATAACACAGAAAAAATGGGTGTCGGCCGTGTTATCTGCGTGGCTCTGCCATTCATCCTCAGCGTTGGTTCCATGATCTTCCTGCTGGTTGCTGCTCTCGGCGGTGTTTCCAACAAGGACCTTTACATGTTCCGCGTCAACCTCACCGATCTCGAGATCAACCCTGCTTCCGTATCAAGTATAGTCTCAAGGGACGTCAAGGCAGTCAACTTTGGAAAGTACCACGACCGCGCTCTTCTCACCGGCGATGGTGACAACGCCATCACCAAGGCTGCCACCGACTCCTCCACCACTCAGACCAGTAACATCACCGCTGCCGACCTTGGCCTCGACAACCTCTACGACATCGCTCTCTGGGGTTACTGCACCACCGACACCAACGGCGACAAGACCTGCACCAAGGCCAAGTTCGACTGGGCTTCATCTTACCTGAACACCTCCACCCTCGAGACCATTGGCACTGCTGCCGGCCGCAAGATCGAGCTTCCTGATGAGGTTACCACTGCCCTCTCCGCCTTCAAGACCGCTACCAAGTGGACTCAGGTTGCCTACATCATCGCCTTCATCGCCCTGGGTCTCGAGATCGTCTTCGGCATCTTCGCCAACTGCACTCGTGTCATGTCCTGCATCACCTTCCTCGTCGCATCTCTCGCTTCCGTCGCCGTTTGCGCTTCCGCCGCTCTCTCCACTGCCATGTCTGTCATTGTCGTTGGCGCTGTTGAGGGTACTGCCAAGTACTACGGTGTCTCTGCCGGCTTCAACAACAGCTTCCTCGCCCTCATCTGGATCTCTGCCGCTCTCGCTCTTGGCGCCGGCTTCTTCTGGATGTTCACCATCTGCTGCTGCGCTCCCAGCCACACCCGCAAGGACCGCAAGCGCAACAGTGATGGCGAGAAGCTTCTTCCCCAGTCCAGCAGCTACCAGCCCATTCACGAGGAAAACGGCTACTACAAGCAGCAGCAGGCTACCCAGTACGGTGCTCCCCGCTACGCCAGCGGTGCCCGTGGTGACACTGCTTACGAGCCTTACTCCCACCGCTCTTAAGTTTAGCATTTGAGAGTTCACGGTGTGGTAATCTTTTGTACGAGGGAAGCCGTTTGATTTGGCAGCACTTTTGATTTTCAGCATTGTTGGCGTTGGGTAACGGCTCACTATCATGAGAACGACGGACACGCACGGAGGTGGATATGAATGTTTAGTAGCTCTGGACGAAGATGATCGTCAGGGGGGATGACGACAGTTGATTGCTTTAGTGGACTGCTCGGGATTGGAGATACCCCCATCCAGGCTTTATTGTTTATAGAATTCCAACATGCTTAAAGAGCAATTACAAAAAACAAACTAGAGTTTTACAAAATTTTCTCAAAGCGAAATGTGTAGGTTTCATATGAGAGAGCATATTCTACGATTGAATCGTGACTTGCATCTGAGATGGTGGGCAAATCCCAAACAACGTGCAATTTGGGGTGTATTGACACTGTTAAAGGAACACCTCGAAATTTCTCACAGAAAAAAATCACCAAAGTGAAAAAACTCCACCAAAATCAGCAGAGGGGTGGACGATGACTCGATCCACCACATTACATCCTAACCACCATCAAGTGCTGACCGGAGGAAGGACCTTTAATGCAACCAGCTCAGCTAAGCTCAGCCGCAAAAGACTGGCATCATGCTCCTGAGACCTTAGGCAACCACCATTCACAAGAAACGCACTGCATCAGGATTCAAACCTCTCGCTTTTTCTAAACGCTAGGACAACCCCTCTAGTGAGACTTTTTATTCTCCTTAGCCAAGTGAAGACGCACAGAGAGTCAGATATTACCCGACTTGGGCAGGCCAGTCTTCGAACGGCTGCCCGCTCTTTCTCCTCATGAACCGTCGCCATGCAGTTAGTAATCCATGCCCTCCTAGCCTCTTAAAATAGCATTCACATATTGCCTCTTTCTCATACAGGAAGATGGGGAGTGAGAAATATGTACCTTGAGCTAACGAAATGGGAAACAGCAATTCGTAGCCGGACCCCTGCAGAGGGATCACTACTTCACCCCCGTCACCGGCCTCAGCTTCTTCAACGCCAGGGATGGCGAGACGTACCTGCTCGCCGGCGAGGACACGGAGCTGAAGGTGTACGATGGCGAGGGCCGGCTGCGGTGCCAGCTGGGGATTTTCCACGCCCAGCCCATTCACGGTATTCATGTTGCTGCTGCCGCTGCAGGGCATGGCTCGCGGCGGCATGTGCTGCTCTGGGGGAACCGAGCCGTCACCGTCGTTTCTGCTGCCGTCATCGAAGAGCTCATCCTCGGTGGCGGTGGTGAGGGTGAGGCCGTGGTGGCGACGACACCGGTAGAGATTATCGAGGCCAAGGCGCCGGACTGGATCTACGACGGCGTCATTTGCCCTGAGGACCCGGACCGCGGCGTGCTCATCACGGCGCACAACGAAGTCCTCGAATTCTCTGTGGGGAGTGATGGGAAAACGGTCTCGTTCGGTCGCATCGTGTCGCCGTCCCGGCCGATCCTGTACTCGGCGAACCTGACGTGGCTGTCAAAGACCTCTGTACTCGTGGCCGGCGGCACGGTCTTTGGCGAGATTATTGTCTGGAAGTGCCACTTCTCCAGCGATGGAGCCGCAACTGCCGCTGAAGAGGACGGGAGCAAGTCTTGGTGCGAGGTCCTCTTCGTCTTCACGGGCCACGAGGGCTCCATCTTTGGCGTCGATATCTCGCGTGAGATCGACCTCGGCGGAGGGTGCACGGCGAGGCTGCTCGCGAGTTGCAGTGATGACCGGACGATTCGCATCTGGGATATCACGGAGAGACCGGGCTCGCCGCGTTTGCAGTATGACGCCTTTGGCGAGGCTAGGGAGACTGGCTTCGGAGGTTCTTCGTCTGCCGCCCCTGCTACTGCTGCCGCTGCCACAGATCTCACAACAACACAAGTTGCCTTCAGCGCGCCACTGGCCATGGTCATGGGCCACATCTCGCGCATCTGGCACGTCAGGTTCCCTCTGGGAGGCCTCGACGAGCTGGCGGAGGGTCGTCCCGCGACGGTGTACTCTTTTGGCGAGGACTCTACGCTGCAAGCCTGGTCTCTGGACGTCGACCTCGAGGCCTGGCGGCGGAGAGCAAAGACGGCCGCCGCGGTCAAGGGTGGCGAGGCGCCCGTCGTGGCTGCGAGCATCACGTATAGGGAGACGTATGCCCGCCACGACGGGAAACACATCTGGGCTACCGCCATCACGGAGAAGGCTAACGGGCAGGTTCTGGTCGCCACGGGCGGCGCGGACAGTAAGATTAATCTCTTCTTGGAACGTTCCTGCGTTGCTAGCGGCAGCGATAGCGACAGAAGCAGCAGCAACACAACGGCATCTAAGCTGCGAGAACTGCCGAGCGAGCTGCAGACTTTGGTGATGCGGGACGTGGTCAGCAAGCTGGCCCCGCGAAACCCCGACCACGCGATCCCCTTGGAAACAAAAGAGGCCTTTCAACGTTTCGCGTTCGTCCACGAGGACACCATCGTCGCGACGAGCACCACCGGCCGTCTCCTCGTCGGCTCCTTTGGACCGGAACTCACGTGGACACAGATCGGGACCGATGGGGAGACGATGCGCGCCCTGAACGCCTGCACGAGCTTCAAGAGCCCGGCCCCGGGCCTGGCGCTGATAGGCACGGCCAACAAGAAGATTCTACTCTACCGCGACTCGACTATCCAGCAAGTCGGTACGGTGCCCGGTAAAGTAGCAGATATATTCCCCCTGCGGAAATTTTCGGCAGAGGATGCGGGGGCATCGGACAAGAAGCTCGAGTTCCTCGTCACCATGCTGGGCAGCGGGGACGCCATGCAGATCCTCACGCTCGACCTCGACGCCTCGACCGTAACTTCCATGGTGCCCGTCCCCGAGCTCGACAGCAGGTTCGTCGTCACGGCCGCCTGCCAGGTCAATGACCTCCTCGTCCTCGGCTCGCGCCACGGCTACGTGTCCGTATTTCGCCGCGCGGAGGGTGAGCAGCAGCTCATCCCATTTCCGGCACCGGACCGTCGCTCCGGCGACGCAATCACATCCATCAACGTCTTCCCCACCTCATCTGCTACGTCTGCAGCGGCGGCGGCATCTCACATCATCACGACGAGCCGCGACGGAAACTATCGCGTCTACGAGACCTCCGCCTCCGGCATCCACCTGCGCCACGAGACCGCGCCCGCAGCGGTGCCGAACCTCGAAGACGCATGGCTGTCTGGCAGCGGCGACCTGATCCTCTGCGGTTTCCGCAGTAAGAACTTCATCGTGTGGAACGAGACGCGGCACGAGGAGATTCTCCGCGTCGATTGCGGCGGCGCGCACCGCGCCTTTGCCTACACCCGGCAAGGCCACCAAAACAGCAACAGGGACGGAGACCGAGACCACGGCATGCGCTTCGTCTTCAACAAAGCCGCCACCCTGGGAGTCTACACCCAGCACAGCCCCTCCGTCGCCGCAACCCACCACCGCACCCTCAAGCGCGGGTCCCACGGCCGCGAGGTCCGCGCCATCGCGTACTCGGGGCACTCTAGCAACTCTGGATCTCGTCGCTACATCGCCACCGGCTCTGAGGACACTTCGATTCGCATCTGGGAGTACACCACGGCCGGCGGTGCTTCGCCTGATGAAAGACGGGAGCTGCGCTGCGTCAAGGTCGTCAAGGTTCATACCGCAGGGTTACAGTCCCTCAAGTGGCTCGGCGAGGACCTGCTCTTCAGCTGCAGCGGAAACGAGGAGTTCATGGCCTGGCGTGCGTGCGATCTCGGCGATAGGGGGTTGGGGTTGATGCGCGAGGCAGTGTTTGCGGATAAGAGCGAGGACGGGGACCTTCGGATCACAAGCTTCGACGTCGTGGCGCTGGACAAGGAAGAGAAAGGCAGCGTCGCCGTCACCATGGCCTTTTCCAACTCGTTTGTCAAGACGTACCGGTATACACCCGGCCAAGGCTTCGAGTTACTCTTCAAGGGCCAGTACACCGGTGCCTGCCTGACGCAAGCGCGGCACCTCCGGGTCCGGGACGGCGTGTTTGATGTCATTACGGCCGCGACGGACGGGTGTCTTGCTGTCTGGCGGTCTCAGGGGTCCGAGTACATCCTGCGGCACACGGAGCGGATTCACCAGAGTAGCATCAAGGCCCTCGATGTCCATTACACGTCTGATGACAGGGTTGTGGTCCTTACCGGCGGCGACGACAACGCGTTGGGCATCGTCACGCTCGTTTCGCGAAGCAGCAGCGACGCTGATAACGAGATTGACGGCGGTTTCGAGCCCGTGACGAGAGCCGGGGTTAGGAAAGCGCACGCGACGGCCATCAACGGTCTCATGGTCCTCGGGGAACGAGGAGGCCAGGTGGACTTTGTGACGGCCAGTAATGACCAGCGGGTCAAGATGTGGCGGCTCGGGTGGCGCGAGGGGGTGGAGGAGGTCACGTTGCTGGCGGACGAGTATAGCGGCGTCGCGGACGCCGGCGACGTTGAGATTATTGGGGATGGCAAGGTTGCTGTCGGCGGTGTTGGGCTGGAGGTTTGGGATTGGAGGTCTTGAGGGGTCTGAAAACGGAAACAAAAAGAGGGGCTTGAGCGAGGGGACATTACATGGCTAGAAAAAATAGAGATGAAGTAGATGATGGGACTGATATAATGAAGCTATACTGAAGCCTTTTTTCACCGCAGGGACTTATGTAGTGAGTCTTGAGTGCGTCACCACAGACTCATATTGTCAAGGACGACAATAGAGGCCACAGCTATCATTAAGTAAGGTAGTAGGCAAAGAGTTTATCCTACAAACCCTGCGTCCTCAGGCCAGTTCAGTCTATTCGATGATGACGACAGCTTCCCTTCCCCTCCTTTCGCCGAGCATCCAAGATACGGGCACACTCAGCTTACATGCTCTTCTACCTAGGCTCGGGGCCAGCCGTCAGTCGATGGCTAATAGGACTACCTGTGTGTTAGTAATTGTTTGCATTTCGTGGCAAAAGGTCTCTGGAGTGAGTCATTGAGGTGTTTCGCACGCGTGATAATGAGAGCTGCTGTGGCGTACTGAGCGAGCAGAGATACCACGAAGCCTTTCAAGGGCTGAGCACCCATTTCCATGCCTTATTGTCTTATTCTACTTCATTCTAGATCCTGAATATTCGTACAAATATATATGGGTGCATGACGAAGATTACTGTCGTGTAGTGCCGTTTCGTGATGCCAATTCCAGCCGTAACTAGTATGTCCGCCAGGTTGTATTATCACACAGCATTATGATGAGCTGCAGCACATTAACTCTGGGTTGTCAGAGAAGACGAAGAGAGCGACAAAGTGGACGACGTGTTCTTCTCTTTGTCGCTCTGGAAGTGATGGTATCCATTTTCGACATGATGTATGGCCCCCATAATATCCACAACCAAACCCCCTCACCAGGCCTTGGTTCAATTCAGGGGCATCTCTCACATCTTCAATTTTTGATAGTCACAGATTCTTTCATCTTTAGAGCCTATCTTGGTAAGTTGTCATAATCCCTAGTTGCATGAGATCTGTGTTCTTGACATCCACAACGCCATCATGGCCCGCCTCCCATCTGCGGACCTCGTGTTTCTTTACGATGTCAGCATCAATGAAGTCAAATGATGCGGGAAAAGTGGCAGGAGGGAACCTCCATAATTGGGACTGTCTGGATGCTCCAGGCAACTAGATATCAGAAAGCGCAAAAATTTGCGTAAGAACAACAAGATCTCGACGGAAAGACCCCACAGATTACGGAAGTATCACACAGATTGCCGACAAGAGGGCCGAGTCTAACAAGGCACGAGAGGTGTCCTCGGTAGCCAAACTTTAGGAGAGCGCTTGGAAATTCCGTCTCCTGCCCCCATTTCCTTACTATTGCGGGCTTCATAGGTGCGGCTAACGAACGCAGGTCCATTTCCACATGGCTTTCAGTCTCAACGCTCTTGGGCATACCCTCGTATGTTGACACTTGCATCAGCTGAGGAATCAGATGGGCATCGTGCTCGATCATCTGATAGGCATGAGCTCTGGTGCTCAACGTCCTCAAAGGCTATCTGACACGGAAGCAAGGCAGTGATGCAGACGCCATCTTACTGCACCGGGGTTCAGATGGAGGAGACGGCCATCCGGTCCAAAGTCTTGTCTGTGGGCAAGAGAAGTAGCCTTAGAATTGCTATACTAATCATCCCTTCTAGAATTCATCCTAGCTTTGGATTGTCTCCTCCATTGGCTGTGCGGAGATGTCAAAGTGTTTTCTTCACTGCGATTTTAACCCCCCCAGAGGGAGGCACACCAAGCCTCACAACAGGCACGTGACAGACACATTGTTGATATTTCCCTAGTAGCACAGTAAACCTCGAACCGGCGATTATATGTCATCCTGCGCCTAAATATACAGCATCTGATAGATATCCCGCAATATAAAGATGCCAGAAAAAAAGTCCTTGCTGGGTATTTTTCCCGATGCGAGCCAAAATGAAAAACGAACCACGCTATGCAGCCCAAAGACCACCATATCTCTGTCTCTTCTCCTTCTTTCTCTTCTTCTTCTTGCTCTTGCTAAAGATCTAGTCGTTCACCTTACGAGCCCCTCGTAATATTCGGCCCCGTACCGATACCCGTCAGCGTTCGGACGAACCAGTGCGCCCAGCTCTCCGTCTCAAGCGTCGCCTTGAGCTCCTCGGCGCGCTTCTCCACGTCCTCGACCTGTCTCTCAAATAGCCTGACGCCATCCTCAACGTCGTCCACCTTGCTCACGAGCCCGTTGATTTCATACTCGAGTCGTGCCACGAGGACCTCGACCTCCTTAATGGCCTCGGTGATGTGTGCGCGCTCTTCGGCAATGAGCTCCGTCGAGCTCTGCTTGACGCGGTGGTAGGCTTCGCTGAGCTGGTAGTAGAGGGCTTGCAAGTCCTCTTGCTCGCGGCCGTAGTGCTCGTCGAGGGCGTCTACGGCCTTGACCTTTGACTCGACCCAGGGGTTGACCTCGCGCTTGATGGTGGCGATGGAATCGTACAGGCTTCGAGCGAACTCGGCCAGGCTGGCCTGCTGCTGCAGCGCATCGGCGGTAGAGAAGTGCTTGTCGTCATAGAGCTCGGTGATCTCCTCCCATCTGAGAACCGCTTCTTCGGCGTCTCCAAATGACAGCCGTCGAGGCCAGCGGGCTTCGTTCAAGGGATGCTTATACCTGAGTCTGGAGACGGCGACACTATGTCGCCGCTGGAGGAAGCTGACGGCCGTGTTGCTGGTTCGTTCTGCTTCAAAAGGACCTTGGAGATCGGCCTCATCAACCACAGATCCAGCCACCGATGTTTGTATCCGATCAGGCTCGTCTTTGACTGGACCATTAGGAGGTGTTGAGAATTTCTCCGCCTCGACATGTGTCGAGCTTGGGTCTGACCCCTCGCGCGTAGGCTTGGCAATCATGGGAACCTTCTCAAGCTCCTGTGATGATTCCCTCAAATCCTGAGCAGCTTCTGCCTCTTTCTTAAAGGCATTCAGGTACTCCTCCGGCTTGTTTTTCCACGTGAAGGCCCTACCAACCATGACCGGAGACGACAACGTTGCCGAAGACTGCGCCAAAGCCGAGATGCCGGGAGCGCTGTGGTAGCCATTCTCACCAAAGTCGTCTCTACTAGGCCGACTCGCGTGACCTCTCAGGCCGGTACCAACAACGTCTTTTATGCGCCCGAGACCAGATTTGGCATCACTGACTCTGCCAGCAACCGATTTAAAGACTGTCTTTCTAAGCGCGTCTTTCTCTCCCGATCCTTCAACCACACTAACAGCTGAGGCAGGCGCCGGGGTTGAGTAAACACCAGGCGATTCTTCCTTTTGTCTCTGAAGCTCTTCTTCCAGCGGCAATGATTGTGTTCGTTTGCTAGACGGCGGTGCAACCTCATCCTTTCCGAAAAGTGGCTGCGCCACGTCTGTCGGTTTCTCTTGTAGTTCCAGCACTGCTCTCCTGGGCTTTCCGTACCAGAGCCATTTTGCGCGCTCGCCGTACGCAAGGGCAATGAACTTGTCAATGTCTACCGTCTCAATATCAGCTATGCCGGCCTTGTCTTTCCCGCCGACCATGCCGATGACGAGCTCGCCCCTTTTCCCGCCGATTTCGGCGACGGTGGACTTGACTGCCTTCTGCACGCCCCAGCCCTCACCGGCAGCAGCTTTTGCCGTAACAGAATGAAGCTTGAGTATTGTCGGACGATCCAGACGTCTCGTCCGCTCAAGCTTGTACGCCTTCTGGAAGTACCCAATGCCCCTTTTTGTGCTTTCAATGTCAAAAACGTCCTTGGACACAGGTGCGCCATAGTAGTGCAGTCGGTTCCTGGCGCCCATCAGTAGTCCAAGCAGGGCTGCCGTTGTCGTTGGACCCAAGATACCGTCTGTGGGCTCAACATTGTAACACTCGGCTCCAATCTCTGTCCACCAATTTCCGATAGACTCTTCAGTCTTGTCGCAAAGTAAACCGTCAATGTATTCCATGTCCAGTTTCCCAAACATGAATAGAGAGACTTGGCACAATTTGACGAGCTCCACTGCCGACTGGGTAAAGGGAACCTTCTCGCTTGTCCTGTAGAGCTGGTAAAATTTGGCCTGGGTTGCAGGTGTGGGGTCTGAAAGATTCATGCCAGATCGGCCAGAGCATCCTAGTCGCTTGAGGTTCTCGTTGACGATGAAGGCCTGACGATGGGTGCGTATATCGCCCTCGGGTACGGGGATAACTGTCAGAGCTGAGGGAAAGCTGCTGAGATTCGTGACCATCACGTCGCCCAACGGCGTTTCCTTCGGCCGAGCATGGTACTGATGGATGGCCTTGAAGTAGAATCGCAAGCGGTCGGACCATACGCTCTCGTCCGCAGGGACGGCCAGCACCCCAACAACGACCTGATGCTTCGGGTCACCCGTGTACGTGACAATAACCAGCGTTGGCGATTTCCGCGAACATGCCCATTGTTCGACCAAGTATAACTCGTATCCCTGTAAGATTCCTCGTCGCTCGAGGACCGTAACCGCCGGATCGCTTTCTAGGTATCTTGGAGACTATCAGCACGCGGGCTTGTCTCAAAGTCGGGGGATAGGAGAGCTCACCTAAATGCTACAGGGTCGGCGAATACCCATTTCCTCTTCGTCGTCGGCAAGGGGGACGGTGTCGCGGGTTCGGTAGAGGCCTCCTTTCGCGCCTCAAGTGGCAAGGGCGTGCCCAGGGGAGAAGGCCCATTGGCGCCTCGCTGAGAAGCGACTCTCGCCAGCGTTAGTTCCTCCTCGCGATGCATTCGCGGGTCGTTGACGGGAAAGGGAAAGCGGAATGACATCTCCATTTGCAGGAGTGCGGCGGTGAAACTCGGTGCATCGACGAGACTTTTAGAGGCGCCTGCGACTATCTCCAAGACGAAGAAGTCATAGTCGTCGTAATCGCTCGCCTAAAGGGGGTTTCTGCGCAATCAAAGAAATATCCAGCGGGTGCTCTGCATGTGACTGGAAGGGGGGGCGTGTTCGTCGGGTTGCTTCGTTGGTGCTTCGAATGTTCTCCCGCTTCGATCGATAGGT